AAAAAAAAAAAAAAAAAAAAAAAAATTGCATCTGAGGGGCCCATATTATCTTTGTTTTGGACAGCACTGGTTTAAAGGAAGGATGATTTGAAAAAGATTTAAAACAAGCTATACCATATTCTCAAGTTTAATGTAGTACCATACCCAGAAAATGTCATATAAATACTTCCTTTAAATTTTTAAATTTAAATACATAATTATAATGTCTGACTTAATGTGAAAAATTAATGTTTAGTGAAACAATTCTAAATCCCTTCTGGTAAATACTAAGGAAGCTGTTAAATTGACACTATTCATGGAAGAATACTTTGTGGCTTAGCAAAATAAATTCCCACATATTTATTGTATTTTGCTTCAGTTGCTGCTTCTGTTAATGTTGTATTTTACAATAATTTGCATCTTTAAAGAAAAGCGTATGCTGAACTTGAAACTAGATTTATTTATGGTTTTTCACAAGTCAGTAAGTAGCTTTGAAAAGGCAGATCTGGTCATTTGCTTGCCTAGAATAAAGTGACAATGACAATTGTTTTTATCTGATACAGAAACCTCTGATGATGGTATCTTGCATATATCCTTCAAAACACTTCTCACATGCTACACTAATCTAGGTTTTTCCTTTTTATCTTGAAATTTACTCATTAAAATCCTCTAGCCTAGACTAGACCCCTTATCCTCTCTTCGGTTCCTATTAATCATTAATCACTGAGAATAAACAGAAGTTTGAAACGTTTTCAGGGCTCTGGTCACCACACCACCAATCACACCCTCTATCAAGGGGATAATGGCCAGCACATACTGAGGAAAAATGTGGCAGGCATCCATACTGAAAACAGCCCTCCAAAAATATTAGACTCATACAGGCTACACAGGGATGCTCCCACATAAAAACAACCCTTCACAGTAGATAAGTTTCTCCTAAATTCACAGAGAAATATAAGTAAAATGAAGAAGCAGAGGAGCCAGTCCCAATGAAAGAACAAGAGAAAGCCCCTGAAAGAAAGAATAATGAAACAGACCTCTCCAGTCTACCAGATCCTGAGTTTAAAAAGGAGGTAAGGGCTTCCCTGGTGGCGCAGTGCTTGAGAGTCCGCCTGCCGATGCAGGAGACGCGGGTTCGTGCCCCGTTTCGGGAGGATCCCACATGCCGCGGAGCGGCTGGGCCCGTGAGCCATGGCCGCTGAGCCTGCGCGTCCGGAGCCTGTGCTCCGCAAATGGGAGAGGCCACGACAGTGAGAGGCCCGCATAACGCAAGAAAAAAAAAAAAAAGGAGGTAATAAAAATACTGAAGAAATTAAAGGCTATCAGTAGAAATGCACTAGAACTAGAAACTATAAAGAGGAGCCCATTAGAATTAGACAACTCATTTGCCAAGATGAAAGCTGAGCTGAAGGCAATGAATAGCAAACTAAATAATGCAGAATTAATACGTGATCTAGAAGATATAATAATGAAAATCAGAACAGCAGACAAATGAAAAAAATGAAAGCAATATATGAGGCCTATGGGATAATATCAAGTCGGCCAATCTACACCTAATTGGCATGCCAGAAGGAGAAGGAAGAGAAACAGGAATGGAAAATGTATTTGAAGAAATTAGCTGAAAACTTCTCACAGTTAAAGAGATATCCAGGTACAGGAAGCACAGAGGGTCTCAAACAAGATGAACCCATACAGACCTACACCAAGACATAATTAAAATGGCAAAAGTTAAAAGAGAGGATTCTAAAGGCAGCAAGAGAAAAAGAGCTAGTTAAAAGGGAACCACCTTAAGGCTATCAGCTAGTTTCTCTACAGAAACACTGCAAGTCAGAAGGGAGTCTCAAGATACATTCAAAGTCCTGAAAAGGAAAAACCTGCCATCTAGGATACTCTACCCAGCAAGATTATAATTTAGAATAGGAGAGAGAAAGAATTTCTCAGACAAGAAAATTTTTAAAAATAAAGCAATACTAAACTTATCCTGAAAGAAATATTGAAAGGTCTTCTCTAATAGAAAAGAAGCAGAAATCTACAGGAAAGAAATCACAATTGTAAATTACTTAAATAAGAGAGTACATAGATTTTTTTAAAAAATCAAAATTTGTGAAAGTGAAAATAACTACAGTGAATAGCAAAAGGATAAACAAAAATGTAAAAGAGGACAGAAAAATAAAATATGGGGGAGTAAGACAATGTAGTTTTTTTTTTTTTTTTTTTAGAATGTGTTTGATCCTATATGATTACAAGTCTAAAGCAAGTAGATATAGTAATGGGTTAACATACGTGAAAAGCTGGGTAACTACAAATCAAAAACATACAGTAGATAAACAAAAAAACAAAAAGGAGAGAACTCAGGCATAATATTAAAAAAAGCCATCAAACCACAAAAGGAAAAACAAAAAGGAAGAAAGAAGAAATACAAAATCAACTGGAAAACTAGGTTTAAAATGGCAATAAATACATGTCTATAAATAACTGCCTTAAATGTCAATAGAGTAAAATGCTCCAAGCAAAAGACAGAGTGGCAGATTAGATAAAACAAGAGCATACAATATGCTGCCTACAAGAGACCCACATTAGGGCAAAGGACACACACAAACTGAAAGTGAGGGGATGGAAAAAGATATTTCATGCAAATGGAAATGAAAGCAGTGGTAGCAACAATCATATCAGACAAAACAGACTTTAAAACAAAGGCTACAAAAAAAGATAAAGGACACTATAGGGCTTCCCTGGTGGTGCAGTGGTTGAGAGTCCGCCTGCCGATGCAGGGGATACGGGTTCGTGCCCCGGTATGGGAAGATCCCACATGCCACGGAGCGGCTGGGCACGAGTCGTGGCCACTGGGCCTGTGCATCCGGAGCCTGTGCTCCGCAACAGGAGAGGCCACAGCAGTGAGAGGCCCGCATACCGATAAAAAAAAAAAAGGAAACGATATAATGATAAAATGATCAATACAAGAAGAGAATATTACACTTGTTAGCATATATAAGAGCACCTAAATACATAAAACAAATACTAAGTCATAAAGAGAGAAATTGATGGGAATACAATAGTAGAAGGCTTTAATACCCCACTGACATCAACAGATCATCCAGACAGAAAATGAGGCAACAGTGATCCTAAATGACAGAACAGTTAGACTTGATATTTTCAGTACATTATATCCATAAAAACTAGAATATACATTCTTTTCAAGTGCACGTGGAACCTTCTCTAGGATAGACCACATACTAGGAAAGAAAACAAGCCTAAAGAAATTATTTCAAGCATCTCTTCTAACCACAATGGCATGAAACTAGAAATCAACCACAGAAAGAGAAATGAGAAAAAATGATTATATGGAGACTAAACAACATGCTACTAAATAAACCAATGGGTCAACAATGAAATCAAAGAGGAAATTAAAAAAATATCTTG